TCCTAGGAAAGGGAAAATTGCATCATTCCATCCATAATAGGAGCAAACAGTAAACTAATGTGGGAAAAATCAGTGGAATGTTTGGAAGATGAAGTGAAGAAATCTACCAGAAAAAAATCAAGATACATGAAATAGAAAATGAGACACAAAGCATGTAAAAATCAGAACATCAATACAAAATTTCATTATCTGAGTGGAAAGAAATAGAGGAGTTGATATACTACCTTCTGTGTTCAGCTACTGAGAGTGATTTTGTTTCTCTGATGGAGAGCTGAATTTGAGTTAGAAGTAGAACTAAAGAAACTGAAACAATTGTTAATGTGAGACATTTACTAACACTAGGAAAAATCAAAAAGCAAAAGAGCTATAATTATAGCAAACTATGAAATTTACCTGTAAACAATGATTACACATTCATAACATGTATACACAGAATATTGATTTACCCATAAAGTCTTATATAACTAAATTTTGAAGATTGATGGAAATTATTAAAGGATTATGATTAAAGAGAAATTAATTCTGATTTTTCCCCTGTGGAAAAATAGTAGACAACTTCAAATAGTTTTAAAATAAAGGACAATGTTGAAACAATTAGATTTATGAATCTGAATAGTAGATAAATAGGCAAAGAAAGGTGACCTTTTGAGGTGCTAGAACTGAGGGTAAAATATATTGGGCAAAGGTGAAATGATGAATTATAATAATAATTTCAATAAAGTATTGTTCAAGTGATAGCTTTGGAGAAAGACACATGAATCCAAATTGTCAATTTGGGAATTTGATTTTACTGTACTTACAAAATTAGTCTAACGCTATATCATGGATCCTAACTGAAGACTCCCAAGTCAGAGACAGAAGATATTGCTCATTGTAAGCTAACACTGTGAATAGTAGCACATCTGTCCTATTTATCCCTTGTCCTCAAGTTCCATTAGAGCAATGCAACAGGCTCACATGTATGTAATGTATACAGTGAGTTTATAACACAGTGTGGAAGACAGCAGTCATGGAACCCACTGCTTTCAAAAGAAGCTCTAAGTCAGCCTCCTATTTGTCGATATGGATGATGTCATCTCTGAAAATTAGCAGCTGAATAAACCACTCTGAGATATGTTTCAGATTAAAAAGAAAGGTCCGGGTCTTGCAGTCTTGGTATATCTAACAAGAGGAACAGTTGAAAACGAGAACCCAGGAGGACCCTGTACCCCAACCCAGATCCAGATTTTGCTATTTAGTGGCTGTGATTTGGGACAAGTCTCTACATTTGAAAGTTTCAAATACTGATTACCTGAAGCCTGAAATAATTTAAGTAATAGAGCTAGCATGGTGCCAGGAATACAATAGGCACTAAAGCTGTAATTTTTATCATTCCAAGAGAGAAAAACAATTAAACAAAAAAGCATATTTTCCAAAATACATAAATCAGGATTGTATGAACTCTTATAAATTGTGAATCTACCTAAAACTCAGCTTTATCACTTTTTAATGGGCATTGCAATATTCTAATCAAAAGATAAGGGAAGGGTGGCATTTGGCAAAGTGGTTAAGATGTCCACGTCTCACATTGAGAGCCTGGATTTGAGTCCCAGCTCTGCTGTCTATTCCAACTTCTTCCTAATGCAGAGTCTGGGAGGCACCATGTGATAGCTCAAGTACTTGGATCCCTGTCACCCACAAAAGAACACTGGATTGGGGCTGGCATTGTGGTGCAGAAGGTTAAGCCACTGCCTGCAAGGCTGACATTTCATATGGGCACTGTGTCAAGTTCTGGTTGCTCTACTTCCAATCCAGATCCTTGCTAATGCATATGGAAAGAGAGCAGATGATGGCCCAAGTACTTGGTGCCCTGCCAGCCATGTGGCCACTTGGCAAGTGAACCAATGGATGGAAGAGTTTCTCTCTCTCTCTCTCTCTCTCTCTCTCTCTCTCTCTCTTTCTCTTTTCTTCTCTCTCTCTGTAACTCTTTAAAATAAATAATCTTTTTTTGAAAAAAGCACAGAATATAGCATGGGAACCTCTTGAGTTGCAAATACAGCTCAATCAATTTCTACTGTTTTACAGTTAATATTTTCCAGCAGACTAAACTACTAATTAAGAGTTCATTATCTTTATGACTTGGAATTTAGAAATATTATTGTATTTTATTAGGGTCAAGTAAAATACTTATTTCCATTCAGAGTCTATAACTATTTTTAGAAAGCTTTTATTTAATAAATATAAATTTCATAGGTACACCTTTTGGATTATAGTGGTTCTTCCCCCTATACCCACCCTCCCACCTCACTCCTGTCCCACCTCCTACTCCCTCTCCCATCCAATTCTTCATCAAGATTCATTTTTAGTTATCCTTATATGCAGAAGATCAACTCTATACTAAGTAAAGATTTCAACAGTTTGCACCCACACAGACATGCAAAGTATAAAGTACTGTTTGAAGACTAGTTTTACTGTTAATTCTCATAATACAAGTCATTAAGGACAGAGATCCTACATGGGGAGCAAGTGTACAGTGACTCCTGTTGTTGATTTAACAACTGACACTCTATAATGATTTTTTAACACAAGTATGATTGAGATAGAGAACACACTTCTAGCAATGTTTGTTCAAAAATGAGCAATAACAATTTTAAGGAGGGCAATTGTTCATAACAGATTATATTCAGCTTTTTCAACATTATTTCTTTACTTAGCCAAGATTTCTTCAGGGAAAATAAGAAATGCCGTATCCTGTTTATATGTCTTGTCTCAAAAAGAGAACTTAGTGTCCTTTTTATACAAGAAGACATTCATTTCCAAAATAGTAGAATGTGATTAATTGCCTCTTGATTTAGTTTTCTTTTGATGTGGTCCGAACATATATTTAACTATAGGATATGTTTTGATAAAGAAATTCAGTAACCAATCACCAAGTTGACACATTTTTCATCAATACGCTATTAAAGAAGCAATTGTATTGTACCGTAAACAAAAAGAAAGAAAAGTCAATAAATAGATGTTTTTCAGGATATGATTTATGGCAGAAGTTCTACAAACTGTGTTTTTCTGTGCCAAATAATTCCTTTCAAGTGCTATTTTTTTAGAATTATGTAATTTCTCTCTTTTTATGCCAGAAAAATAGCCAGGATATGAATTTGACATCACATGCATGGTGAGAGTGTGGAAAAGATTCTGAGAACAGTATTTACTTCTACACAAAAGGTCACAGAATTAATTCAGCAAGTCAATGTTTGAAACCAGCTGGCTGAGAGCCTTGGGTATTTGGAAAATTAATGTGTGTATGTTCAAAATGGACGTGTGCACACTCTTAATAACCCTTTCACAGAGCAGAGAACACTGTGTCCACCTAACTTTACAGTTGCACTTTCAAAGAGAAATTGGTAAACATACAGGATCTTACTTAAAGGATTTCTTAACCTCTTAACCTAGCAGAACCAGAGGTAAAAGTGCATTTGGATTTCCAGCTCTTTGAATTATTTTAATGTGTTATAGACTCTGAATCCAGTGAATTTCCAAATGACATTCCTGCTACTCTTAAAAACTCAACAGCTTCACATGTCTGTTTATGTCTTCCCAATTTTTTCAATCAAACCTAACTTGCCAAGGATATTTACTGTTGAATATAGATCATTTTAACTTTGTGTTTATGGCCTAAATAAAAACACAATTTTGGAGTGGATGTTTGGCCTAATGATTAAGACACTGCCTGGATGCCTGCATCCCTTACCGGAGTACCTGGGTCTAAGTCCCTACTCCACTTTCTATTCCAGCTTCCTGCAAATGAATTCCCTGGGAAGCCACAGTAATGGTTCAAGTACTTAAGTCCCTGCCTCCTTTACAGGAGACCTGGATTGAGCTCCCAGCTCCTGGCTTCAGCCCAGACCAGCCCTAATTGCTCCTGGCATTGGTGTTGTGGGGTGTGTGTGTAGCGGGAGGGTGCTGGTGGTAGTGAAGTAGAGTAAAGGAGAGCTCTGTCTCTTGTCTTTCTCTCTCTCTGTGTATGTGTCTTTCTGCCTACTAAATGAAAAAAATAATATTTTAGTACCATTATGGAGAATGTGGTTATCCTTTTTAGAGTTGCTGGTTATTTTTGGTAATATGTACATAATTTTTATATGTAATTTAAATCATTCATTGTGTGTCCACATTATAGAATTTGTGGGAGGAGTAAATGGGTAAGTCTGAGTCATTAATAACTAATATTTGTTGGATGTTTTCTCTGTGTCAAGCTCTTGTCTAATGACTTTACATGTCAATCATGTATTGCACATAGTAACTCTCTGGAGAAGGTGTAGTTATCTTCATTTTAGATTTGAGAAAATTAATATAGGAGGAGTGAAAAAATCTGCCTACTTCATGACATTTAGGAAAACTAATCTACCTAGAGTGCTCATTAATATATTTAATTTCAGTTCATAAGACAGACTATCTTGACAGCCCTTAAGAAAGAACTTAATTGAATAAATTGTTTGGATCGCTCTCACTCTCTCTCTCGGGTCCAGGAACCACAGATTCTCAGTGGTCCCAGAGGAGATCTGAGTAGTATTCTTTTCTAACAAAACGTGTTTAAGGGTGATGCATTATTTGGAATACCCACACAGTAATAGTCTCTGGAAGTGGGAGGAAGAGTTTTTTCCAATGGGTTGTCCTTGTGTGAAGCAAAATCAGAACTTTGTAAGGTCAGCAGGAAATTATATAAGGGTGTTCCAGAGCACTATTTCCTGACCTTCAAGAGATTTGGGGGATGCCGTCATCTCACAGAAGGGATGGTGGCTCTGACTTCCAAGTCCTCCAGATTCACTCCACTGAAATCCACTGGTTCTTCACTGACAACTTCTTTGGTGCGCTTACAGAGAAGTGTGAAAGTTGATGCACACACTTCCTTCTTTGCACCCTGCTATTCCATGTTATCACTACCAAAATCATATCATTTTTCCTTAACAACAGAATATTAAAGTGTTATAAATTTCCTTTAAAATAATTAATTTAAATTCTTTCAGATTGACATTAACACTTTCCTGCCCGATGGATCTCAAGAATTTTCCCATGGATGTACAAACATGTATAATGCAACTGGAAAGTTGTGAGTATGAAAATTTTACTTCTTCTGAAGACTTTTAGTGTATAGAACACATGAGCATCCCATCATTTGTACAGATGATTTATTTTTCAATTTTTGGGGTACATATTTACTGAATAACCGTATAGTCTTTCACTAGACATTGAAAGAAACATCTATGAACACTTGATAACTATCAACTCTGAAAAAGAAGCAAATTGAATATCTATAACTAGCAGTTTTTAAACTTGAAATCAAATCTATGCCCTTATGCTTATCATTAAAATTAAAAAGAATAGGGGCCATCTTTGTGGCACAATAGGTTGACTGCTACTCAGGAAGCCTGCATCCTATAGCAGAGTGCCTAGGATTGAGTCACACCTCTGCTCTGCTTCCAATCCAGCTTCCTGTTACTGTGTACAATAGGTAGCAGATGATAGCCCAAGTACTTGGATTCCTGCCATTCATGTGGGAAACCTGGGTGGAGGTCTCCTACATGCTTGAGCCTGATCCTACTTCTAGCTTGAGCCTGACCCAGCCCTGGCTGATGCAGATATTTGGGGGAATGAACCAGAAGATGGAAGATTCATTCTCTCCCCCACCCCTATATTTCTCTACCTTTCAAGTAAAATAAACAAGTAAAACTATTTTTAAAAAAGTAAAAAGGATATGATTCATTGAAAATAAACTATCATTTATTTTTTGAGTGCCAACTAATAGGACATGTATTCTGTATATATTATTTTTATACTCATAGCAAGAATATTGTTATTATCTTCATGTTTCCAAAGTTGAAAATGGTCACTCTCACTGATTGAGTATTGTGCTAAATTTCACAGAGATCCTAAAGATAAACTACCTTGCTCCAAATCCTATACACCCCCTTGTTAACTAATATTTATACGTTAATATTATCCTACAGGGTATGTTACAGATGTTATCTCAGAGGAAAGATTTTCTCACATATAGTCAGAGATTTATGCCAGCTTTCAGACACTTCTCTAAATTTTGTCTTCAAAATGAGTCTTTATCCATCACTGCTTAAGGCCAACATGGATGAAAATATTAGGTACACCTGTTTTTCCTGACTTATCTATGTCAGCTCTAAATTGATTGCATTCCATGTAATGCACGGGAAAAAGAAAGCAACTTGTTGTGTTTTTCCTCTGGCATTCGGTTACCTTGGGAGTAAAAGTCCTATTTGGATGGATTTTTTGAAGAAATGGAGCATTGAGCCTGTGATTTTAAAGTAAACTGAAAATATAGAATTGGGGTGGTGCTGTGGTGCAGTGGGTTAACACCCTGGCCTGAGGCACCGGCATCCCATATGGGCACCGGTTCTAGTCCCAGCTACTCCTCTTCCGATCCAGCTCTCTGCTATGGCCTGGGAAAGCAGTACAAAGTGGCTCAAGTCCCAGGGCCCCTGCACCCAAGTGGGGGACCCGGAAGAAGCTCCTGGCTCCTGGCTTTGGATCAGCTCAGCTCTGGCCATTGCGGTCATCTGGGGAATGAACCAGTGAATGGAATATCTCTCTCTCTTTCTCTGTCCCCACCTCTCTCTGTAACTCTGTCTTTCAAATAAATAAAATAAATCTATAAAAAAGAGTATATTATCACAAATAATAAGAGAAAAAGGGAAGACAGGAATGAGGAGGGAGAGAAGGAGACAGGGAGAAAGGGATCATTGTATTCAGGAATCATATCTATGAATTCATGTAACTTCTCTCTATATTAATAAATTTTTTTAACTTTTATTTAATGAATATAAATTTCCAAAGTACAGAATATGGATTACAATGGCTTCCCCCCCCCCATAACGTCCCTCCAACCCGCAACCCTCCCCTTATCCACTCCCTCTCCCCTTCCATTCACATCAAGATTCATTTAAAGTTGAAAAAAAGTGGATCTTGGGACTTCAGTCTCAGAAACAAGGTGTGCAGTGTTACAGAGATGTCACTAGATGGCACACCTACCCTGTGGGGGTACAAGACCAGCCCCTCCCCCAAATTGTTTTTCTTAAGAAAGTGGAAATATATATTTCTCTGATAATTCCTACTTATAAAATTTAAATGTGCTAATATCCTAGTGTTCCTTAAATATTAAGTACATGTATAGATAAAGTACTAAAATAAATGAGAGAAAAATAAGATAATTTAAAATTGGAAGGCTATTTAGTGATATAAATGGGAAGGGGCAACAAAAGATTCAAAATAGCATAAATTTTGGCCTATACCATGGAAAAAAGCAATCTGAGGACAGATTTATTATGTTGCAATGTGATGGTGTCTATCAAACTATCAAAAGCCAAAAACAGTTGGAAGACACTTGATGCAATTATTAAGATGCCACATATAATGCCTGCATCTCTTATTGACGCATTTGGTTTAAATTCTGGCCCCTCTTCCAATCTAGTTTCTTGCTATTACAGACCCTAGCATACAGCAGATGATAGCTCAACTATTTGGGTGCCTGCCACCTGTGAAAAAGTTGAGTATTCTGACCCAGGGCTCCTGCCCTGGCTGTTGCAGACATTTGCTAACTAAACTAACAGATGAAAGATCCCCCCCCCCCTTTCTCTCTCTCTCTGACTTTGAAGGGAAGGAAAGGAAAGGAAGGAAGGAAGGAAAAAAGGGAGAGGATGGAGGGAGGAAGGGAGTATCATTATATTCTTAGAATTGTATGTATGAACTATGTTAAATCTGTTTTCCTTGTGTTAAGATCACATTAACATAAAAAATTATAAATTTTTTTGAAAAACATGTTAAAACATGAAAAACATGTTAAAAACTGTAATAGCCATATATAGAATGGTACAATTAGTCATATGAAATAGCTGAATGCAAAGCAGAAAACACAAAAACAGATGCTTAAGAAATACCGACATTTAGAAGTTGTTGGAAGAAATTGCAGATGGTAAATTAAACTCATTTTTTTGTATTAGAATAAACTCTCAAGCAGATCTGTAAAAGAGTATTAAATGGTGTAAAAGAATTCAGATAATTGAAGAAATGACCATTCTTATTAAGGAAAAACAGTAATGTGGTTAGAAGGATAGTCAAAGCTGGATTTCAAAAAGCTTAAATGAAATATGAGTGATGAGAAAGTGGGAACAACAAGTAGAATCTTGTCCATGAATGTTAGTTACTAAGGAAAGTTTAGAAAGATTATAGTACCTGTGGGAGAGTGGGGTCACCAGGCTTCATTTTTAGGTTAAGAAGAACTTACTAGGGCTTATTTTCAGGACAGATAGGAACATAGCAAGACCTCTTATGTGTCTGCCTTTCTCAGGATATTTCCACAACAATCATTCTCAGCTTGTGAAAAAATAGTCTGTTACCTATGTCCCCCAGTTTCTTAATTCTTTTATCAGGAATGAGTGAATTGCTTCAAGTGATCCTTTCATATTCAGTTATTAAGCATATCCTGACCTTTTAGAACTTAATTTAACACACAGTATAGGATAACCTTTCTTAATTGCTTTAGTAGATGCTAACTAAATCCTGTCCATCAAAATAGAAGCTTATTGAAGCCAAAATTTTCAAGGTGTTTTTCTTATGTCTTTTTTAATGCAATTTTGCTTTTCTCTTCCCTTTTTAAAAAAATCGTGGCTTAAAATGGCAAGTTAAAAGATTTTAAATAAGTTTAACTTACGGGAAAGTAGGTAAAAGAGTTTAACCTGCTATAAAACAAGATCTCTAAGAAAACCAGTGTCTACTTTCCAAAGAAATCTAACTACAAAGGGGAAGAAGAGAAACAATCAATAGTGTTAAGGCATGGAAAATAAACAAAAATGCAAAAATCATTTAAAGGCAAAGGCCTAATGGCTGTGAGGTATTATCTTCCTTAAATTCATTTAATGTACAGCAATGGTGAGGACACATCTAAATGGCTTGGGGAATGTCTCTTCACTTAAACACAAATTGAAAAACTATCAAATCCATAAATATATATATATATATTCATTTTATTTGAAAATTAGAAAAAACAAATAGTTCTTCCCTCTGCTGGTTTACTTCCAAAATGCCGGCAATAGCTGGACCTGGGTCAAATCAAATCTGAGAGCTGGGAAGTCAATCTAGATCACACATATGGATGTCAAGAACCCAACCACTTGAACCAACACCTGCTGCCAACCAAAATGCACATTCCAAGGATCTTGGAATCCATGTACAGCTTGGACTTGAACCCTGGCACTAGTTCCTGGCACTTCAGTATGGAATTGGGGCACTCCACGCAGCATACTAGCCACTGTGCCAAATACCAGCCCCTGAACTTTTGCTTATTTCTGTTTACATTTTTATTGCCAAGCACACTTCCATGCACTACATGCAAGCTGAATGTGATGGAACAAAGACATAGCCTCAGCCATTCTCACTCATTGCCCAAAAGAGCGTAATATTGAAATTTATTCCTTGCCCTTGAAACTCAATTCAGTCTCACACCCTGTTGTCTTTACACCCCATCTCTGCATTCTTCCCCAGGTTTGGAGGCCCAGTGGCCACTTGAAAAGACCAGTGTGTAGGAATTCACCTCTGCCTGCCTGCCCAACCCCACCCTTAGTACTCCTAAGGTATAAAAAAAGCCCACCTCCTGAGTTCAGGGCCTCCTGCCGCATGTCCCATAAATCTGCACGCTTTCCATGTGTCATGCTTCCGGCAGTTGGTCACCCACTTCTGTGAATTTATTTTCTCTGAATATATTCTGTCTGGCTGTAGATTCGTATTCTGCATCCTGTTTGTTCTATGCCTCTTTCTCTAACATTTTGGTGCTCTGTGTCAGGAAGCACCAATCTGGGACTCTTTTCCAAATTTAATGAAGACAGGTAAATTGGCATTCTTGTTTATGCTTGATATCATTAGAAATTCTGCTGAAAATCAAGATAATACCCTTTCTCACTCTTAAATTAATAACTGGCATATCTGAAATAGAACAATCCACAAAACTAATTGGAGGAGTTGCTATAGAACCACTTTCCTGACGAAGAAGGCCAACAACCAACAAGGAGTCATGCAGAGTGTGGGGCA